CCAGAATCCTATGCGGTGCGTCTTATGCTGCCGCCCAATTCCGAGGACAACTCCTTGCTGGGGCTCTTCAATTGGAAAATTTACCTGGGCATGCTCTGTATTATAGCCGTGCAGGCTCTGCTTAAACTGGCATACCAACAGATGTATAGCATTAGTTGAGCCCCTAACTGTTACACGATTGAATTTATAAGATGTATAACATGAAATCTAACGGCTTGCTCCCAATTTAATCTTTACGTAGGACTTGGTAACGTTTAACACAGCAGTTGAATCAAATTAGTTATGTTTATAAATGATTTCAAAATTTTTTAAATTAGTTTCATCTACACATTAATAAACCGGACTGACCGCATGAAAGACCAAATACATTTTGGTACATTTATTATACTATGTTCTAGCTACAATTTAGGGTTTTTAAAAATCCCGTAACTTATTATTGGAGTATAAAAGTTAAAATTAAAAGATTTGAACATTTTGAAATATGAATCATTGAATATTTCTTTTTACTTAATTGCCAATTGTATGCAAGCATGATTAATTGAATAACTCTTTTTTTTTCAGTAAAAGTTTTGCTAGCTACTTTATGAAAGATTTTATATAAAATATATTTAAAATTAAAAATTTCAGTCCATATTTTGATATTAAAAAAAAGCTGCGCGTCCTAAGAGTCCTTTGACTTATGATATCAGTTAGCTGGCGTCTCGCTTTTATCCATATGTGCATATGCGCAATATTCATATTACTTATTCATATCGATGTATATTGCGCTTATTAAACGCTTCGACTTGCCTGCCAGGACAGCCAGGAGAGTCTGGGGGCAGCTAAGGCAGGACGAGTCAAGTTCAGTTAACATGAGAGGAAACGTGCAAGTAGAAACAATTCATTTGCCTGCCACTCAGATTCTCAGCAGCTTATTCCCAAAGCTGCGTCATCATGTTGTGTATCTGTGTGTGTTTTTGTGTTTGTGTGTGTGTATGTATGTGTGTGTGTGTGTGTGTGTGTATGTGTGTGTGTGTGTGGGATTACTTGTATACATAGAGGTTGCCAATGATGATGCTAGCGTGTATACACTGGCTTCATAATTCAAAGTGGCAACACTTTTGCTAGCAGCTGAAAACTCAGCTCGACAGACGCCGCACTGCTGGAGGAAATGAATGATGGAAATCATCTCTCCAGGCATTTGGCCCCAACAATCTAATACGTGATATACAAAACAGACACCAGTGCGATCCAAAATGAATTGAAATGTCAGCAGGCGGTCGACGGGGGTATTTGCCTTTTTCGTGGGTTGCACCACTTGCAGCAGCCATTAATAATTGCATGTGCCACATGGGGCGTATGAGCAACTTGGCTTGCAATTTACTTTGAACAACTCAATTGCTGACATCAACAATAGGCCGCGCCCCATGCGCATTCCTTCTTTTTTCCCATTTCTGGGCAGCACTTGTTTCACTTGACATTAATTAAAATCTATCGTTAGCTTATTTCAATGCCAAAACGCTTGTGGCTGCATTCATTTTGCAGTTGCTACAATTACCTGCAGAATGTTGCAGCTTAAATATAAATCCGTTGCCTGACCCTGTCAGGCATTATTGCTGCTGCTTGTCTTCGGTTTCGCTATGCCACATTGCACTCTACTCGTACTTGAGGCATGCACCACAGCAATTATGCATCGAATACATTGCCCCAAGCTTCTAATAAGATTCATTGAGTCTACTACACATTTGCATATGTCAAAAATTCAAAGCAAATAATTGAACGTTGAACTTGATTTACATTCAACCCATATTAAAATAGGTTTAAGATATGTTTGAATCTGGTAAAGATACAAAAAATATGCATGTACAATTGTTTGACAGTCTTAGTCCATACTATTGCATTTATTTTAATATTTAACTAACTACGCCTAAATTTAAAACAATATACACAATGTAGGTGAGTGGTCGAATCTGTTTTCATGTATTTGATCCAGCGTCTTACATCAATTTGTTTACATCAACAGCCTCCGCTGGTCTTACTAAAACCGCCCAACGATCCACATGGCCAGCCACAGCTAAGGAGTGAGAGTGCAAGTGTTCTAGAGTTGGAAAAGATATATCAACTAATTTTATTTAATAATTTAATCGTCTACCTTTCAGAACCGGACCAAAAAACATTTTAAAGATTTAATTATACAGATTTAGATGTTCTTTCGGACTCTGGTGCTAGACTGAATTGAAAATAAAACAAGTAAGAGGTTCTAGCCGGGAGTTTCCGACTAGGGGATACGCGCTCGTTTGTGGTAATAAAGAAAAAATTTAAAAAAAGTTCCCTTGGCAGGGTTCTAACTCGCAATTAGCCGCATTACTTGCCGTCGTCTCTACTCAACAGACACACCAGCCAAAAAAAAAATAGTTTCCTCGGCAGGGCTCGAACTTGCGACAGACCACACTTCTTGCCACCGCCTCTACTCAACAGCCACACCAATCATTAAGTCATTATGAGAAAAAACGAAATTAAATAGCAGCACAGAAAACAATACAATCTTAATTGCAATGCTGCTGATAGAATTCGAGGTAGACTGAAATTGTGTGTGTACATGTATACAGAAATTCTTGGAATTTGTGCTAGCTGCCGCAAACACATGTTTCTTAACCGATCTTAATGAAATTTTCTGCAGTATATCTTATTGTACCTTAGAATATTTTTTTATTCTCAAAAAGTAAATTGCATTAAAATTGTAGCTTAAATTGGTGGGCAATACAAGTTGGGTTATTAACTTAATTTGTATCTATGAGTTAGTAGGTGGGAGGTGGCGATAGGCATAAAATGAAAGGTAATTGATATATATGTACTACTCTAGAAGTAACATATCAATTTGGTGACCTAGCTCATATTATTTTATTATAAAAAGCTAGATTTCGATATTCATATTATCGATTGCTTAGAAACGCAGTAAGTTATCGAATATCGGAAACAAACTCGATCTACGCATGGACTAGGAGGACCTACAGCTAAAATTTCTCTAGCTATTATAGGTTCTAATAGTCTTGCGTTCATACATACGGACGGACACACTTCATACTGATTATTATTTATAGCGTGTTTGTTGCCTGAACATGTTTTTTTAACCGACACTTCCTTTTTATACCCTTGCAGAGGGTATTATAATCTTGTCGTGAAATGTGTAACGCATAGAAGGAGACATCTCCGACCCCATAAAGTATATATATTCTTGATCAGCATCAACAGCCGAGTAGATAGAGCCATGTCCGTCTGTACGTATGTCTGTTTCTATGCGAACTAGTCTCTCAGTTTTAAAGCTATCTCCGTCTTTCTGTAGCACGCAGCACATATGTGAAAACCAGCTGGATCGGACCACTATATCATATAGCTGCCATAGGAACGATCGGTCGAAAATTAAGTTTTTGTATGAAAATACATTTTATTTATCAAGATATTTATTTATTTTTATTTATTTATTTATTTATTTATTTATTTATTAACGGTCGACAAAACGAGTGTCTTCCTCATTATTCAATAGATTTTACAATAGAATTTTATGCTAAAAGCCTAGTTAAAGGATACAATTTTCTAAATAGCATCACCGACCGATGGAGGTGTTTTATTTGCCAGTCCGGCCAGCTGTGCCCCTTTTCACAGCTAATTTTGTCAGTGACGCTATTAGAGCCTACATCTAAGCAGAAGGTTGTAAGTAGGAAAAAAGTGTTTTCAAGTAACATTAAAATAATCTTAATTTGCTATATTAATAAAGCAAATACAATAAATAGGAAAATGAAAGTAAGAAGATTGTTAATAAAGTAAAGCAATGTAAGTTAGATAAAGAGTGTTAAGTAGATAGGACAGAGAGAAAAGTAATGGGAAATCACCGACCCGGTGGGGGAAAATTTTTCAGCCTGTCCGGCAAGCTATGCCCCTGCTCATAGCTGGGAATGGTCAGCGACTTCCCGAAGGTATCCTGAAAGCAACGATTTTATTAAGGGTAGAGACAGTTCGGTAGAGAAAACGTGATGCAAACTATTATAATTTTTACATAGCACGCGAAAAGGATTGTGCATAGCGTAGTCTGTTGTGCACGTAGATAGTAAAAAGGGGCGATAATTTCTGGTTGGTCTAGCCGGAACAGAGAATTGAAGACGCCCTAGCAGAAAAGGAGAATCTATGTCGCCAATAATCAACTTATGTAGAAGGACAACACCGAGAATTGTCCTACGGTTGGTTAACGACGGAAGGTTGAGAAGAAGTAGTCTGCTGGAGTAGGACGGCAACCGACGATTAGGGTCCCAATTTAAACCTCGTAAGGCAAAAAGCAGAAATTGCTTCTGAACAGATTCAATACGATCCTGGCTGTTGTTATACTGTGGAGACCAAATGCAAGAGCAGTATTCAAGGACAGGATTTTGACCAAACTCGGCAATTATTAGTTTTACTAAGCTCCTTATATATATGCAAAATCCTATTAAGATCGGACCACTATATCATATAGCTGCCATAGGAACGATCGTTTGAAAATTAAGTTGTATGAAAAAACATTTTGTTTATCAAGATATCTTGACCAAACTCGGCATTAACTATTTTCCCTGTGCTTCTTAGATACGGGCAAAGCACTATAAGCATTATGAAAAGGTTGGGTCCGCAAGGGTATTAGATCTTCGGCGTGCCGAAGACAGCCTTTCTTTCTCGTTATTTTTTTTAATGCATTTCTCCGTGCTTCAAATGCATCAAACAGGCCGGTGATTTGATTAAAATGTTATTTTAATATTTTATAAATGATTTAAATCGTTTGATGTATATGTTGTAATATAAGTATTGTAGCAGTCAGGGTCAGATATATTCGTAGCCCCAATAAAAAGCGTGAAAACACCTAGAGATACAATTCGAAACAGTTAAATTGTTTTAACATTTTTTATTTCACAGGGCCAACTACTTAACTTGTCAACATCACGATTATTATGACCATGGAGGTGCTAAGGTTTCTAATGCAATGAAAAATACATTTATTTTAAGCTTTAGTCCATAAATAGTTTATTTATATTTAACATCTATTTTTGTGTATTAGTTGTCCGAATTGACTTTAAGAGACGTCCTTCTTCATGCATTGGTCCATGTCCAAAGGGCAACAAACTAGCTGTTGACTTTAGCAGCCCCGCTGGTATCACACGGGCTGCTCAAAGATCCACAGGGCCAACCGCAACCCAGGATCATGTTGTGCAAATGCTCTATGGGAGAATGATCAGGAAAACTTAATATTTGAAAAAAATACATATATTTACCCTTCTGAACTGGACCAATAAACATTTTGAAGATAGAATTTTACAATAAATTTATATGTTGCTAGCTTAGAAACACTTTCCAGATTGAGACTCAAATGTATTGTTGGGACTTAGGTAGCTAAAATATATGATTAAATTTTCAAAGGTGCTTCGACCTCTATTTTTTGTTAAAATTTATGAACAGCAGCTAGACTTTCTTGGACTTCTTTAATATATGCAATATAAAATGGGCACAAACCATGTCAGACTAGATTGGATTAGATCCGAAAAGAACGACTCAAATTGTGGTTATGTTTGCAAATCCTGGATTATCATGGGTGTATCAGATTTGCTATTTTAGAATAGTCTCCTTTACAAATTGGCATATTGGCTAAGCCTATTGGCAACGACAGGTACGACTAAAAGTGGCGGTCACTTTCGAGGAAAGCCTTTAAAGGACTAATGATGTGCAGTTCAGTTCCTCTTAATTTAAAATACAGAGCAACATGACCAATGTATGCCGCATTACACTAGCTACCTGGTCCAAAATGATTTATAATTAAAAGGTTGGTTTTTGACATGTTGCCTAAAGGGATTTCGAAAACGTTGCCGGATCTCTATGCACTGGTCAAAGCGCAGCATCCGCTGGGTCCCCGGATTCACTAAGTGATCCATAGATCCTACCACAACCCAGGTAATGTACTTTTTTTTTTTTTTTACTAATTATATTTTGTTTATTAAGAAATCTGGTATCCTGTTACAAGGTAATGTACAAAAGTAAGAAAAATTCTGGCCTCGGTATGTCGAAAGACCTGAACGAGGGAGGGGCTTTGGGTTGTGTCCCATCTATTGGATGTGACCTAATTCTTTGATATACCGCTGGTCAAGCGCTGCCCAGGAACAACTATGACTGTTGCCATAGGATTAGCATTGAAAAGGGGTGCATTTTTGGTAAGTCTCACTTCGATTATTTATTAAACATTCTTCACGTTAAACAACAATGCCTTAAAATAGCGTTGGCCAGTGGATGTCGTTTGTGGTATATTTTCTTATGGATCAAGGCAACTGTTGCGCATTGGTCCAAGTCCAACACCTCCAGCTCGAATATCACCAGCCGCAGCCACCACAGCAGCCACCACAGCAGCCACCACAGCAGCCACCACAGCAACCTCCACAGCAGCTATCGCAGCAGGGCCCACTCAGTGATCCACAGGGCCAACCACATCCTAGGATCATGTTGTGAAGATGTTCTATAAAAATAAACAAAAATAATAAAAGATGATCTAGCTTTTATCAAAAGTATTTTTACCTTTCTGGACCGGACCAATGAACATTTTGAAGATTTTAATTTGGAAAAAAATTAGGTGTTATTCCTTTGCTCACTAGGGTAAGACTAGAGAAGTTGAGCAAGGAGCGGGCTTGGGTCGAACAATTTGTGATTAGTTTTTCAAAGCTACTTAATCACAAGTTTTAAGTCAAATATTTGATATAATGGAATATGGAAGTTAACTCATTTTTTCCCAGAGCAAAATATTAAGGCTCATATGATGCTTTTAGTCGCACTGACATTGGGAAAAATTTGGTATGCACTTTAAAAATAATTATTAATTTTGAACTGCTTATACGATACTTACCGTTATGTAAGCCAGCAAAAAATCATAGCAATTCCATGAAAACATTTATATTTCTCTTAACTCTTCTACTGCGAATGAAAGCAGAGGCAATTGGCTGGCCAATGCCAATGGCAATAGCTTTTACTGATTTCCATTCCTCTCCTGGAACTGGAACTTCAGTTCCTTAAAGAGCCAAGTGGGATATTCGGACTGTCAATGCTTACTTATAAAGCTTATTTATAAAGCCCAGCGCTGGATGCAAAAGAAGTCAATAAAAATATTGAAATAGCGAGTAAAGGGAAAAGAACAAAGATATTTTTGTATTTTTTATTTTGACAGCCAATTACTTGTTGCTAGAAAATATTGTTACAATGGGTTTCTTGAAGAAATGTCAAAATGTAAACGAGCACAGACCGTATACCATCAGTAACTCAGAGCTGAGAGTAGTTATCGAATCTAATCCGCAAAAATTTTAAGCACTTAAGAATGAGCACTTATCTCCTACATTTTTATTCCATAATGCTTTTAGACGCCAAACCATATTTTGTCTGGCTTCTAGGACTCCTGCAGACTGATGTGCATTAGTTCAGTTTCAAAGGACAGCATCCAGCGCAGCAGAATCACACAGCGATTCACAGAACTTTATCCAAGACCTACCTTAGGTACAAGAAGTATTTTAATTGAAATTATTTCCAAGCATTCCTTTTTGGACATGCACTGACCTGTCACGCCCCTAACGGAGACCCACTAAAACCCACAAAAACAAGTTAAATAACGTCTCACAACCATTTATTAAAGATATTCTTCATGCCGAGATTTTGCTCTTGCTTGCAGATGTTAATTGTGGTTTCATTTGCTTCGCAAAGATCCTGGCAACTGATGTGCATTGGTCCAGGTCTAAAGGTCTCGTTCAAGATCAACAACAGCCACCGCAACCGCCGCAGCCACCGCAACAGCTGCCACAGCACCCACCGCAGCAGGGTCCACTTAGTGATCCACAAGGCCAACCACAGCCAAGGATCATCATGTGGAGGTGCTCTTAGCAAAGGAAACAAATTTAATTTAACACAAAAACAACTATTAAATCACACATTTTACCTTTTTGAACTGGACCAATGAACATTTTGAAGATTAAATTTAAAAAATAAAATGTAGGTGTTTTACTTTGGAACGATGTCGTAAGACTGAAGTCATAAAAATTGGGACAGTACCTAGGTGGAAAAACTCATGATTGATATTTCAAAACTACTTTGATTTTAATTTTTACTAGCTACTTATTTTTTGAGTGCTTCCATTATTGCAGATAGATTTGTTTTTTTCGTTATATCAGTGCTTCAATTGAAAACAAGTAAGAGGTTCTAGTCGGGAGCTCCCAACTAGGGAATACCCTGAACCCTCTTATTCCAACACCAAATGCAAATATATCGACTCGGCTATTGATGCTGATCAAAAATATATGTACTTTATGAGGTCGGAGATGCTTCCTTCTGCCTGTTACATACATTTGCATTTTGCACAAATATATTGTATTACCCTTTTCACACATTTTTATGGGTTCAGGGTATAATAAGGAGATTCACATTTGGATGAAAGTTCTATATGCAACATCTGCCTTACCATGACCATATCCATGCTTTCGTGCTATTCTTGATGACTCAATCAATATGAAATAAAAAATAAGGCGATTAACATTAGGACGAGAGTTATATAAGCTAAAACTGCTTTCCCTTTACCATATCCGTGCTTTTGGCTTATTCCTGATCACTCAATTAACCACTTGTGCTAACTTTATATACTCTGTTTATCTGATTTACTGACTAACTATAATTGGTAAGTTTAATTAATAAATATTATGTTTATTAATGTTCAGCGCGTTTAGCTAAATAGCTTGTAAAATGTGCATAAATACCTAAGTTAAAGCACACTTTTTGTAGTATTTTTATCTTAAAGTAAATTATATATTAATTAAACACTTTTATTTTATGCATCAACAAAACAATTTTTTTGTATAATTTAAGAGTATTAAAGGATTTATTAATATTCATCATCAGCATCATATCCAATTTCCTTTTTAGTTGGAGTCTTTTGCTGATTATTTTCATTGCTTTGATTACATTTAGCTAATTCTGCCCATTCCTTGATGCACTTCCTGCGCTTGACTGTTATACCGTTATACACATCCACACATCTCTTGCGCTTCTTCTTCATGGCACCCCGCTCGACTTCTTCGTAAGTCCAGTAAAGCTTCACCTCCAGCGGATACAAGCGGGCATTTTCGCTTTTCCGCTGAGACTCGCTTAGTTCCGGCGCTGATTGTATGCCCTCCGAATCGCTTGACTCATAACATTCAAATGAAGCTCCATTTAAAATGTTAGGGGTGTCAGAACCATCCTGGAAACTAGATAATGCCGACAGCGCCTGTGCTTCGGGATCACCCAGTACCAAGTTCGACATCTTGTCCAAACATTCGTTCACCGTCACGTTCATTTTTTTTGTTGTTTTTTATTTTGTTTTTTTTTTTTTTTTGTTTTTGAGTGTGAGCTCTAAGGCAACCAAAACAAAAATGATATGAGCAGGGGTAATATATTTGGTTAAACGTCAGAAGTTCGGTAGAGTTGCCCAGCTATTGGAAAGTCAATTATTTTTGTTTTTAAAGAGTTGCCAAGTAAAGGTTCAATAAGAAGATGCAAAAAAGAAAGTAGGTACTTACATAGTATGTGTTTTAAAATGTTTATTCACTTATTAAAAAAAAAAAATAATTGAATGAAAATATGCTTGCTAAGTTTCAAGTCTTCAGTTAAAAATAAGACACACATTTCTGAAAATCTATCGAACTTAAACTGCAAAACTGGCTGAAATCACTTGGCCAACCTTCGAACAATGACAAAAAGCAATCAGCCTCAGATGGTCAGGAGGTGAATTGTTCGCGTTGTGCTGTCTTTTTGTGGACCTTCAATACGCTTGCGTTGCAATTTAAATAATGCATCAAATGAATTAAGTCACCCGGCCAAATGGCTCTCTTCCAGCGTTTCCAGCTGCTAGCGGTGAGCTGGGCGGTAAAGGAGGTGTGGTGTTTGAGCAAACTAAGCTAAAATAAGTATTTAAGCCAAATGGAGTAAATCCATTCACAGTTACCATAAAAAACGAATCATGTTAACAATGAAATGAAATGAAGCACAGACAAAAAGCCAACCAAGTTTAGATGGCGACTGATTCTTCTATATGTATATAAAAATAAGAAGAAATGTGGAGGCAAAATCGAGAAGGTGTCTATGGAATACCCTGAAATGCATAGAATTGCATGACAATTTAATTTTCATCAAATTTTTCATAAACATGAATAGATTAATATATGGTACTTCTTATATAACATTAAAGTGATAATATTTTAATTAAGTTTTATCGTACTCTTATTTAAAGCTCAAAACAGATATATAAATAAATATATTGTAATCGAATATACGCAGATATTTAATTGTAATTATGTATTAGAATTAAAATAATATATTTATATGTGTTACATATGCATACGGATTGTTAAGAAATATTGGCTATCAATTTCTTAATCGACGGCCATATGATTTAATATTCTATGAATTAACATCTGTTTGCATAATTCCTGACAAAGTTATAAAACTCTCAGCAAGTGTATTTGAAGAAGTATTAAACTCTCTTTAGCAATAGTTGTAAGATGGATTTTATAGAAAAGGCAGCAGACAAAACGCTTAAGCAACTGGAGCGTGAGAGAGAGGGACGGTGAGGGGAAATGGACGGACGTGTTTCTGAGGCGACATGCGAGTGGGTACATATATACACACATACATATATACACACATAATGTTTTTGTATATCGATATAAAGCATGTGTGTGCCTGTAGCGCGTGTGTCATTGATATATTGCTTGAGCACGAGACGGGCGACTCGTCGATACAGGAAACACACACAGACACTGAAGACGCCAATAAAAGTGGCAATGATGCAGACGAGTGTGAGGATAGCAATGTGGGAGAGAGAAAGACACAGAGGGAGAGAGGGAATGTCGGGCAAAAAACTTATCAAATCGAAATGTTATCAAATGTGAAGTACCAGCAGGCAGCAGGGGGTTGCTTTGAGTGAATGTTGCGGTTAGGCAAGGTTGTCTATGCGACTCAAATAAAACCTGTTTTTCTTGCGACTATTGCAACTCTTTATGGCCACAAACATGATTATATCAATTGGTACGCCACATTTGGCTGTGGCAGCTTAATTTGCAACTCGACGGATGTGCCACGTGCGCGAATCACGTATACGCTGGCGCTGGAGGGGACACCAGATATGTGACATGTGTAGCCAAATTACCGAAACTAGCGGCAACCTGCACCTAAATAAAACATAATATATGTGTACGCCATCTAATTAAATGTATCCGCATGTAATTTTGCAGTTTAAATTGCGCAAAAAGGTAGAAAAACTAAGATACATACCCCGCACACACACACACAGCCGGAAAAGGGCTGTAGCCACATTGCGGGGTAAAAGTATGCCATCTGCTTAGAGCTGGAGGCAAGTTGTTGTTCTCTGCGACGGCATACTTTTGTGCTGAACTGTTTACACACGGCAGCCCGGCAGCCCACGTTAAGGGCACACACCCACACGCACACACACGTATGCACATTTGAAAGGCAGCTTCCGACAAAATATTTCAGTTGAAAATTTTTAATGAGCTCGAAATTGTGTGGGGGTGCAAATAAAAATAATACGCAACAGCAAATAAAATCAAATACGTAAGAAATACTTTTCGAATTGATTTTAATTGCAAAATACTGCTACATATAGAACATAATGGCCAATCAATAGGTACGTGCTTTGTTCCATAGGTTACGGGCAATACAAAAACTACATATCCGTATATTTAAACATATATTTGTATATATCTTGTATTTGCAAACGTTGCAAGGAAGAATCTGCATAAAAATATAAATAAATCAAGTGTTATATAAATGATACAATGGCTTGTAATATGCACTGAGAGAAAATGAGCATTAAAAATTATTTAAATTACTACTTATTTCTGGTTAAATTGAATGAATAAAAGATAGCTTTTAATATTAAAAAAATATATTTGAAGTCGAAGTCATAATTATACTTAATTTTGATCTGCATACTGTGCTACTTTTGCAATCAATTCCTCTCCGTGCAACATACATACATAAATATGGCACTAACATTATCCACCCGGCCCCCTCTTAGGGGTGTGCGGTATGTGTGCTTATAAATCTCGAAAGAATAACATGGCAGCAGTCAGCAGCAGCAACAGGACCTGCAGCATTTAAATAACGACCAGACATACATATATACATATATGTATAAATTGTACATATGTACACAGCTAATGCTGACGAATCTGGTGTGTGTGACGTCGTGAGCTGCAGTTGTTTTTTTTAGGAAAACATATTTTATTTATTTTTTTTTAACTGGCAGTGTCAGCAGCCACAACTACAACAACATTCAGTTTGAGCGTCTGTCTGTCATTTTGTTTTAATTTTACAGATTTACTCAGATTTGTTCAGTTCGGCGACGACTGAAGCACTGCAACCCTCAGGCAGCCATCAATGCTGCATGTTTTCAAAAGTTGTTAACGGTTTTTCAAGCGAACCATTCATATATTCATAACTTACCCACGCCCACACTATATTAAATATGTATGCATAGACATGCTGATATTTTGTCTCTGAGGGTGCGACACGAACGCTAAGTGCCTCATACCTTCCCCGTCTGTGTCTCTACACGCTCAATAAATACGAAATGCACATGTTCATAAATAAAATATTTTAACATATATATGATTATTTTATTTTTATAGAACAACTGTTAACGCGTGCATAGAGTTTTGGGATTTCCACCAAAATGTAAATAAAACAAGTAAGAGGTTCTAGTCGGAAGCTCCCGACTAGGGGATACCCTGAACCTTCTTCTTCAAACACCAAATGCAAATACTATTCTAGAAGCTATATGTCAAGTCTGGTTACTCTTGCTCTTATTATTTACAAAAATTGCCCAAAAAAACTGGATTTCGATATCGATTTATTGATTGCTTGGAAACGGAGTAAGTTATCGATTATCGGAAACAATCTCGATCAGCGCAGGTACTAGGAGGATCTACATCTCTAGCTCTTATAGGTTCTGATATCCTTGCGTTCATACATACGGACAGACCAAC